CTTTCTTTCTTTTTTTAGTATAAATACAATAGTAGAATTTCATGCTACTCTTTCAAAGCACTACCCACATTGACTCAGAGATGAGAATGGATTTGTTTTTAGGCTGTGGTTACTTTCCCTGTGCTTGTGTGAGTCAGGACCAGAGGCAATTCAATCCTAATAAGCTCATTCAGTATTTATGGAACAGGCAGCAGAGAGAGGTCATCCTGGCTGGGGAACTTTGTGGTGAAAGGCTTAGAGTTAGACATGAACTCTAAGAGGGAAAAAAAGTGTGGCAGAGGACTTTGAGAGACTGTGGTTGAAATTCTGAGTCCTCCCATCAGTGATGCAGCCCTGGAGAAGTTGTGTATGCCGTGCTCAGTTCGCATCTACCCTGGCAAGCATGTAGGAGGATCAAATGCGTTCACATGTGTAGTGCTTAGCATACTGCTCAGTGCCTCTCAGCTTCTCCTAGTCGTCTTTCTTCTACCTCCGGCATCAAGCTCATTACCAAAACCTACAGGTGCCGTATGCACAGTGACTTTTACATCACCTCTAGCTTTTTAACTCCCACTGCTGCCGTCCTGGTTCAGGAAGGTCCTTGTTATTTCAGATCGTGAGTCCTGTAGCAGCTTCCACATTGCTCTCCTCGCCCTGCATTTTCCCTCTCTCCATCCATGCTGCACACTGAGACCAAATTAATCTTCCAAGACTATAGCTCTGCTCATAGCCTTTCAGTGTGCAAAGGCGTGTGACTGCCCAGGACCTAGAGACTGAAGCTCCTGGTACCAACAGTATTCCCTGCTCTGACTCCCCCGATTGTCCCAGATGTCCTCTGTACAGCCACCCCAAGACTGAGGTTTGTATTTGAACAAAATGCTGGATGTGCCCCTGCCTCCTGCATGAACTACCTCCCAGGAACCCCTCCTTCCTTCCCCTCTCCCCGCTGCCTGCACTGCAGCCCACCTGAACATTTCTCCTGCTAAAAATCATAGCCACTCTTTATGTTTGAGCATAGATGCCTCCTCCTCTGTGAATCAGCTTCTCTCCCATCTTGGCAAACAGATTCAATATCTCATTCCTTGAATCCTAGCAGGATTTTCTGGCTATTTCTATCCAGTAATTTTCTTTCTCTGTGGCATAGCCATTTGTATTTGTGTGATCCTCTTTTTCCACTGTCAGTTATTTCAGGCCCTGGCCCTCAGTCCTATTCATCTTTGCCTTTACTGCAGGACCTAAGCTCTATTGTAATATCTAGTCCACAGAGAGAATGCAATACATGCATATTAAGTGAAGAGTACTCATTGCAATTTTAAAAACATTGATTTTGCATTAGCCAGTTAAACACACACACACACAAACTAAAGATGACTGGAATAATCTTAAGGCACAAAAACTAAGAATTTGAGAACATATTTGCAGCACTAAGCTAAGGCTACTTGGCATACATATTGGAGTCAGTGTCATGTAACCTATAAAAGCATGTGGAAGATTATCCCTTAAGGAATTCTTTGCCTTTGTCCTAGTTATTAATGAGCTATCAAAGGCATCCGGGGTCTTTCAAGGAGTAGGCTGTTTAGTAGGAAATCTAAGTCCTCATGACATACATTAATAAACAGATGATTTGCAAATCAGTACAGAGTAGAATAGTCTTTCATGGCCTACTCTTTGCTGGCAAAATGCAAAGCTTCTAAATGTGCAGACAGCTAAGCCTTGGTTCTGTACTGGATGCTCCACCCAAGGCCATGGCAGAAAAAGAGAAAAACCAAAACAGAAGCAAACAAATGGGGGCAGGGGTGGTGAGCAGCCCATCTCTCTCTCTCTCTCTCTCTCTCTCTCTCTCTCTCTCTCTTTCTCTCTCTCTCTCTTTCTCTGTCTGTCTCTGTCTCTGTCTCTGTCTCTGTCTCTGTCTCTGTCTCTCTCTTTCTCTCTCTGTCAGTATTAGGAATTGAACTGAGGGCCTCATGCTTGCCAGGCAGCACTGTGCCACTGAGCTTTATCTCTTATTAAAACAAGTCTGAGTGCCCCTTTGGGACTCACAGTGGTTCTGATCTTTCACTCCAGGCTTTGTAAATCATCCCCCATCTCCTGCACCACAGTCAGGGCCAGGTCCAAATCGAAGGAGAGGGCACGAGAGTGGAGGTGTGGGGGCTAAGAGGTGACATAAAGCAACATCTAACGAGGACCCTGAGCCTTCCTAGGCCTTCTGTCTTTCTTTAAGAACCTTTGGGTGCCTCCCAGTCCTCCTTACTCTGGCTGGAGTCTCCCACCGTGTCCTGGAGACCCGTTTGTCTTTGGTTTGGCATCTGAATGTCAGCCCATGTGTGTCTGTGTGCATCTGTCTCTGCTAAGCTGTGATGCTGTTAAAGTCATTGGGATTTTATATATCAATATGCAAATTTATGCAACAACTAATGTGTAACTTAGCATTTTTATTTTTGAGCCAAAAGACTACTTACCATCATTTTATTTCCCCCAGAAACTTTTGGTTATGCAAAAAAAAAAAAACAATTCCCTGCAGCTTGTCTGGTTTTGCCATTGTCTCTGTTGCTGTTTTAGCCACCAGATAAAAACAGTGAGAGGCGATATTAATAAAGGGGCTGAATATTTTGAAATTGGCCCTAAAACAACAAAACAAAGAGAAAGATGTATAAACTGTTAACATATGAGAGCCAAGAAGGGAAACTTTAAACTGAAGAACTAAAGACACGGCATAATCATTTCTAAATGGCACGGTTTGAGCTGGAAAATGTTTTGCTAACTAGTCCTTGGAGAATTGAGCACTGTGCTGGAGAAGGAGGAATCAATAATCTTAAATGACCTGAAAGGAAAGCAAATAGGTGGGGACACTCATACACACCATAAAATTAATGAGTAACGCAAGTTCAAGTTTGCCATATAGGTCTATGTACTAAGAAAGATTAGATTTTTTTCATGAACACAAAATCCTAGTATTTCCTATATATTTTATTGCACAATAAATCAAGAGATTTAAAGGAGCTGGATATTATTTTTAAAAATCAAGAGTGTTTCTTCTCCTCAGTTTTTCTGCTCTGTTTCAGGAGGCTCAAGGTCATTTCTCCCTGCTGGGATGGTCCCACTCTGCGAAGCAGGGTGCACAGGCTTGTAACTTGGGGGCAGCATTTGTCTGTCAACTTTCTTCAAATTCATGTTTTAACTATTCTCAGGGGGAAGCTTGGATAGCCAATAAGATGTTCACAGGCCCCAGGGGAGTGAGCAGAGGCCTGGAGGTGCCTGTGGATGCGGGGCAGGCTCAGGGGAAGGCTCAGATCACCCAGCTTGTGCTCACCAGCAAACTTTAAGTGAGAAGGACATGAGAAGTGACCTTTACCATATGTTTTACATACGGAGATGTTTCCTCCTACTGGAGTCTCTGAGATTCATCCAATTGCTCTTCTCCCCTGCCATCTTTTCTCTCCTTAGGTTCAGTAGCCTTTAGTTCTGCCCTAGTGTAACAGTGAGGTTCATTTTTGGCCCCACGTAGCAAAACACCAACCACAGAGACTTCACTAAACTGACCTTTTACTCTCCTAGCTGATTAGAGAGAGCAAATGTTGCAGGGCAGGGCAGAGACTTGAAGAAGCCATTAGGACCCCGTCAGTCTGGGTCCATCTGGTTTCTGGTTTTGGCTCCATTGTTTTTACTGTGTGCTTTTTGTTCTTGTGATTACAGGGTGGTTACCATAGGCATAGCATGTGTTCTACATTGCAAGCAGGAGAAGAAAGAAAGGCAATAAGGGAATCAAAGAAATGAGCACATACCAGTAGAGATTACTCTTTTTTATTTTTTAAACACAATAGCTTTTCTAAAAGTGCATTCCTGTAAACCTCAATGATGCCACCGATCTCTGTCTGTAAGAATGGCTAAGGAAGTGACCATTTTTAAGAAGGCATGTCCTCATCCTGAACAAATTTATATTCTCTTTGTTTAAAAATAAAAGGGAGTAGGTCTTGAGTAAGCAACTAATCAACAGTGTTTTATGAGCGCTTGTGTGTGCAGAGCAACACAGGATATCAGATGTGTGATATAGAAGCAGGTAAGACAATCACACTACTTATGACACAGTATGGAGAAAAATGAGAACACTGTAGATGTGGCACTGTTGCAAGGTCAAAAACATTCTTCACATAAGAAGATACTCAACATCATTAGTCATCAGGGGAAAGGGAAATCAGTGTGGAAGAAGATGCCATTTCAAACCCATTAGGATGGCTATTATCTAAATAAATCAGAAATAACAAGTGTTCTTAAGATGTGGAGAAGTTGAAACCTTTGTGCACTAAGGTGAGGATGTAAAATGGTATAGCCACTGTGGAGAACGGTCTGGTGATTTGTCAAACAAAAAAATGGGGGCACATTAGAGTGTTGCTGCTAAAATGCCAATGACAGGGCTAAGTGGCAGATGAAGTGGCATCTGCCCTTCAGTTGCTTAAGCTAAGCATATACACTTACTAGCCAGGGGCTGACTTCATGAACCATAGACAGCGGTCACACAGGGCACACGCTTGGCTTAACACTCTGCTGCTATTGCCTTAAAATTATGAGTTTTTGAGCAAGGAATCTTGGCTTGCATTTCCCTTTAGCACTGGGCCCACAAATCACACAGCTGCTGGTCTGGGCGGTTAAAGGAGAATGATTAATAACCCAGATGTGTTGTTAGTGGGTTTGACCCAAATTCCTGGTCTGTTGCTTACTAATTTTCCCAAATGATTTTTCCTTTACAACTCTCAGTTTTAACGCGTATAAAGTCATGAAGATAGTTTCTCAATATCATAGGGTTGTTGAAGAAATGAGACATGATTATGTATTTAAAAAGAGTACTGTATAGCACTTGGAAGGGTAAGATATATACACCAAATAATAACAATTATGACACAGTATTTCTTATGTTTATTCAACAAAGTATTTGTTGAGTGTTTACTATGTGCCAGACAGGCCCTGTCTTAGGTACCTGGACCATTTCTGTGAGCAAAATAGACCAAGACACCCGCTCCTTGCAGGGTTATTTCTGCCGGAATAAAGAGCGGCCTCCCAATAAGCACAGTGAATATTCATGGAAGTTACCAGAGGCTAGAAGGAGGTAAGTGATTATGAATAAGGAAAAAACTTAAATAAGATAATCAGGATATAAAGGAGTAGAGGATTGGGTTGCACCTGTGAATGGGGAAATTGGGTAAAAATATAAGATTTGAACAAGGGTGTGGAAGGAGCAGGAGAACTCACTGAGTGGGTGGAAAAAATTCTATGAGCAGTTTCCTGAGTAATAGCAGGCAATGATTACAGGCACAGCCTCTACTCATGTGTCGTCTTCTTCCTGATCCGGGCGGGGGGTGTCTGTCTACCACTGCTCCCTAAAACATTTGACAAAGTTAGAACTATATTTAAAGATTAAGTTGATCTCACACAAGTTGAGAGGAGAATGTGGTTACCAGAGGGAGAGGGAAGAGGTGGAAGGGTGGGAAAGGATGATTAATGGGCACTAAAATCAGATCAAGAAATCCTGGGTGCTCTCGCTCAGTCGGGGCCTCACTGTCAGCATGATCTCCTATGCACTCAAAAACTAGAAGGAAGAATTTGGAACCATTTCACTATGAAGAAATGATAAGTGTTTGAAGAGCTGGATATGTGTGACTTTAAACATTACACGATGTTTCAAAACATTACGTAGTGCCCCATTAATATGTCTAACTGTTACGTTTTTATGTATAAGTTAAAAATATTTTAAGAAGATAGTCAGAAAATTCTTACAAATATTATTTCTGATAACCAAGAGAACAGTTGAACAGACGAGCCCAGGACATAATCAGTGGATCAAAATGGGTCATAAAAATGAATCCAAGGCCCCGAGGATCAGAAAGGAAAGGCCAAGGCCAAAGCCAGGGCCAGGCAGATCCCTCTTGGGCAGGCCTGGCACGGTGTCAGTGGGAGAAGAGTTTGACAGGACCGGAACAGCCCTCCACCCCGCCATCTGCTGGGGTGGTGAGGTGTGCGGAGCAGGAGGTCCACAGATTCTATGTCATTCCGGAGTTTGGGGTCTTCTGTGCTCAAGGTGTGAGTAAGGGTTTGAAACAGATGATCAGAGCTGAAAATTATCACCCTAATTTCGTGTCTATGTGTAGGATGAATAAATAATCTCTAAAATAGATTGCAAACAAGCTTTGTTTGTATTTGGGTACAAAATTATCAGACGAGTGGAGGAGGAGGAAGGGGAAAGAAAGGAGGAGTGAGGTGGGGAAGGGGAGAGAAGGGGAAAAAAGGAAGAAGGAAGGGAGGAAGGAAAAACCTAAACAGGTTGACTTACTGCTCATACCATGTGAGCTTATATATGCTCTCAGAGAAACCTCCAACTTTATTTTTTTCTTTCCTTTTTTTCAAATCCATTGTATTTCAAGAAGAAGAAGAAGAAGAAGAAGAAGAAGAAGAAGAAGAAGAAGAAGAAGAAGAAGAAGAAGAAGAACCTACAACAAAATTTTAAAACGTGTCCATCAGGGTCCAACTTTAAGATAGAGGAAATGCACCATGGCAAATTGTCAGTCTATATGTTATTTAAAATATAACTTTAAACTGGGCATGATGTTGCATAGTTGTAATCTCAGCACTCTGGGAGGCTGAGGCAGAAAGATAGCAAATTTGAACCCAGCCTGGACAAATTGGTTATTTAGCAATGCCCTTTCTTAAAGTAAAAAAAAAAAAAAAAAAATTAAAGAGTTGGGGGTATGGCACAGTGTAAAGGCACTGGATTCAGCTTATAGTGTCACAAAAACAAACATACAAACAAAAACCCCAAGAAATTTCAACTGAGCATGATATTGCATGCTGATAATCTCAGCTAATTAGGAGGCTGAGGCAGGAGGATCATTTGAGCCCAAGAGTTCAAACCCAGTCTGGGCCACAGTGTAAGATATTCCCACCTCAAAAAGAAAATTAAAATATAACTTTAAGACCAAAATATAATGGGGTCAATTTTGAATCTTTTACTAAACAGAAATGAAAAACACTATGAAGTGAGTATTATTTAACATCCAGAAGGCAACATCCTTGTAATTCATGGATGGGATAATTAGATTTTCACAGCAGAAATTTTAAGCAGCATGGTGACTCAGTCCCAGCAGTAAAATCTCAGTAATTTAGACCCTGCTAATGCATATAAGAGCTGCGCTAAACTCAGTAGGGGATTAAATGTGAATACGGATTTAGGTGGGTTATTTAACTTATCAAGAAAGCAAAACACTCCATGAGCAATGCCATTCACACTTAATGTACTAATTGCAGCAAAACCGAAAATTGTGTTTGTGTGTATATATATATATATATATATATATATATATATATATATTACTGGCTAAAACTTCACTTATTTTAAAATACAGTGTCAAATAATGTAGATTGTGCTCCTTTATTTTAAATTAGCAAATTCTACATCTGTTTCAGCAGATCCTAATTCTGGTTCAGACTCATTTGAAAGCATCAAATTGTTTGGCACGGGCGGTTTGAGTTAATACAAGTGCTGGTTCTGTCGTTTGCATGGCTCCTCCATCCAGACTGCTTCTCATGCTTGCCATGGGAATGACCTCTGTTTTTCAGCACATCTTTGGAGACTGGTTCTAAAAGTCTGACATGTAGCGACTGTCAAGCTCCCACCTGAAATCTGGTTCCTTGGACACCTACAACTATTTTTAAGCAGCTTTGGGAGTTTTTGACTCATTAGTGATTTCTCCAGCTCCACTGTTGAGCTACAAGTCATCTGTTTTCAGCGTCATCCACGTGCAGGCATTTGTTCTTGTAAATCTGCTGTGCCGTTTGGTCTCCTCTGTGCGATGCTATCTGTGACATTACGAAGGAGTCCTCCTGCATGCCTTATGCAGTGATAGGGCCTGTCTGAGCTGAGCGCTGGGATTCATTGCCCACCTGTTCTTAGAAGCTACTCAGCTCTTCTCAGATGTCTTTCGTGTTGGCTGAGCTAGGTGGGCACATGCCCAAATAGCGGGGCTCCAAAAGCAGGAACGGAGGTGCCCTTAGTCCTCCTGGGAAGAACAAGGAGGGTCCTTGAGCTGTTCCCCAAATCAGAGGCCAACCCTAGTGAGTGGGTCTCTTCTCATAACAGACAAGACACTTAGAAACATGCCATGAACAAGAACATAGGGAGAAAACCCCACTGATAAGAAGCTTCACCATGAGACTCCCTCACATCCACCCCCTCACATCCCCTTTTTTATTAAAAAAAAAAACAGACAATAACAGGTTGGTGAAGATGTGGAGAAATGGAGCCCTTGTACATTGCTCATGGAATGGAAAATGGTGCAGTCCCTGAAGAAACTCAATGGTAGGTCCTCAATGATTAAACATCCATATGTAAGATTCAGCAGTTCCACTTGCGGGTAGATTCCCAAGACACTGAAAGTAAGGACGTCAATGAATATTTGTATTCTAATCTTTATAGTTCTGTTATACACAACCAAATGCCCAAAAACAGATAAATGGATAAACAAAATATGGTATATACATACAGTGGAATATTACTCAGCTACATAAAGGAATGAAATTCTGACTTGTGCCTTAATATGTATGAATTTGAACTTCCACTGAGTGGAAAAAGACACAAAGTATTAAATACAGTATTTATTAGTATGCTGAAGTGAGGTACCGGAGTAGCTGAGCAGTCAAAATCATAGTGACATCGTAGGATGGGATAACCTGAGACTGCAGGGACAGGAAGAGTGGGTAGTTATTAGTTAATAGATTCAGAGTTTCAGTTTAAAATGAAGAAAAGCTCTGGAGATAAAATGGTAAAATGGTCAATTTTTATGTTAAGTATATTTTTCAACAATTCAAGAAAAATATAAAGGGGGCTGGGGATTTAGCTCAGCGGCATAAGAACCTGCCTTGCAAGCAGGTCATGAGTTCGATCCCCAGTGCCGATAAAAAAAAAGAAAGAAAAAAAATATAAAGAACAAACGTGAGCAATGGGGCCAAGAGGGCTTTAGTAAGATTTATTCCCTTTATATAAGGAAAGCCTACTGAAAAATGGCTTTTACCTCTTCCTTAAAAGGTCAAACTTGCCCTTCATTTCTCTTGGTTGGAACATCTTCCACAGAGTGTGCTGGATTGAATTTTATCATAAAACCAGATCAGAATGTTGAGAAATTCTGAACATCAAAGGAAATATAACTTAGTGGTCAAACAAGATTAAATTGTTTTGTTCTACCGTGGCATCTCAGCTCTTCTCGGAACTTTGACTAATATAACTGTATTGGGGCATCAGCCACATCGCCTGTTTCCCCTGAGGACAGTGGCACATGGATAGGACACTTGGATGACCTCATCCAGGTACCAGGCACATCCCTGAAGGGACTCCAAGCAGGAGCATGCAAGGGGATGAGACTGTGACAGGACCAATGAATGTGTACAATACCTGGGCCCAGGCCACACTCTTTCGATGGACACCCCTGGGTTGGGCTTGTTCTTCTTGAATGGCTGTGTGCCCTGCCTCCCTGTGACTATCCTTGCTTTAAAAAGACCAGCCCAGTTGGTATTTGTCAAACCAGCTTAGAATCATTTTGTTTTTATCATCATCTTTTAAAAATAGTTAATCATTATCTTGGTTACTTTTTTCTCATTGCTGGGACAAAATACTCAACACTCAAAATGAAGGAAGAAAGTTTATTTAGCTCGCTCTGTGTGGAGGTTTCAGTCCATAATCAGCTGGCTTAAAGGCTTCAAAGGCTTCAAGGCAGGTGGCATGGCACTAGGGCAACACTTCAAGGCAGCAGCCAGCAAAAGCAGCCAGAGCAAAAGGAAAACAAGAAGCCTCTTCTCCTGGTTTATATTGTGCACAGGCCACCTCACCCCACTCCAAGGTGGGTGTAGCGCTCACAAAATCTCCTTGCCCTCCTTTGCACAGGATGAGGCTATTTACAAAGTAAGAACCCTGCTCCCTGCTGAGTGTCTCAAGTTGACACAATGTATCAACCATCAAAACCATGGATAACATTATAGAAAAAAATTAAAAGTGACACATAATCTGTGGTCAAAATATGCGGTGAATATTTTAAAATTTTATTACAGTAGAAAACACATTGCCATGAGTGTCCTCCCAAAATACTCCTGGCATGAAACACCCTTATCCCATGATTAATGCCACTTTCTGAAGCAGTTCTGGACGTTTTCTTTCATGAATGTTTTTAGTTGTGCTACTTCAGTGTCTTGCGTTGATCCAAGGCACTTACTTTTGTGCTCGTTCTGACTTTGGAGAAGAGACAGAAGTTCTACAGTGCCAGACCTGGGGAATAAGAGGGATGAGGACACTGTGTGATGTTTTTAGAGCCCGCCTTTCCATTGAGTGGTACTTGGCAGTGGCATTCATTGTATTTTTCCTCACACTTTGTAAAGACACAATGGAGTATTATTCAGCCGTAAAAAAGAATGAGATTTTGTTATTTGCAGAAAAGTGATTGGATCTGGAGATCCTGTGGGGGAAAGTAAACTGGAGATTCAGAAAGACACATACAGCGTGTTCTCTCTAACATGTGGAACCTAAAAGAGATGACAAGAAAGAAGAAGGGAGACTAGTATTATTAGACAAAAGGAAGGGAATAAGGGAGAGAACGTAAGGGCAGGTAATGGGGGTTGAATATAATAAAAATACATACATAGAGGGAACAAAATTTGTGAAACCAGGAGAAAGAGTGGGACAAAGGGGCAATGGGGGAATGATTAAAATATGCTGTATTCAGGTACAAGTCTGCCAAAATGAATCCATGAATCTGGACAACCATATGCACTAATTTTTCAGAGGTAGAAACCTGGGGAACAACTATTGTCAAAAACTCCTGTCGTTGAAAACCTCCATAGAGGCACTAGAGAAAGATTGCAAGTTGGACAGTTCATTTATTTTATGCAGAAAACTTAAGGTGTTGCCTAACACGCATCTAGGACATGTTTCACCGTGTTTGAAGACCCAGAACCCTAACCTCATGATGAGAACACACAGACCCATTTGGACTATCAGACTCTCTATGGGTGTTTGCGTAACGGAGATGGAAAGTCTTTAAATTGTCATATTTGGGCTCAGGAAAAAGGAACATTAAAATATACACATTGTGGACAACTATTTCAAAGAAAACAAGAGATATTGTGGTAGCCACTATTGATTTTTTGTTGTCTTGTTCTGAAATCCTGTGCTGCATGCATTATTTTGCTCTGATCTGCTTTGTTCTATTTTGTTTTATTCTCTTTAAAATAAATTTATAAAAATAATAAAATATATACACGCCATGGCAGGGTTCTGTGAAGATAGTCTAAGTCGAAATAGTCCTTTTTGATGAGTAATATTGCTGACCTCTTCTGAGTAGTTTTTCAGGTTTTCATTATATGCTTCAGCAAAATGAAATAATTTTTTTTAATCCTTGTGCAAACTTTCATACTCAGCTTTCTGTCGACTTCTAAATCAGTATCAGGATAGGATTATTGTTACTGCTTCCATTTGGCCTTCTGGTTTGGGGAGAGTTTGGCTATTTTTGCAGAAATTCAATGACCCACACTCTTAAAAGCAAAGAAATTCACTAATTCTGTGTTGCTTATTCCTTCCTTTAAGTAACTCTTTGGGTGATGGTGATGGTGAGGGCAGGTTTAAATGCAGGTCATCTGAATAAAGTTCACTGTTCTTAAAGTTGTCTTTATTATCCAGCTCCCCCTCCCTGAGCCTT